GGGGGGGAGGCCACAAGGTGATGTTAGAAGGGTCGCATTGTCGATGGGTGCTGGCCGCGGGAGGGGGGTAAGCCGAATATGTAATAATGCATCATTACCCGAAGAAAGACTGGCCAAACGGGATTTGGTTTGGGGTTAGCGCGCTTCACTAATGCAAAGGTCGGATGGATTTAGACACTGATAGAAATCTCTATGAAGGAAATTAGAGCGGAAAAATATGCTGTTGTACTTTACTTTGCCACCCCATTACTTGGAAAAGTGTGCAGACGCTCAGGGTGCAACATCACGAAAAGTAATATTTTCGTGTTGCAATTCATATCCGCACTTTGGTAAATAGGCCCTTTGGAGTGACTTTAAAAAGTATTATTTTCTAAATAATTCACAATACGCAATTCCACAACGAGTATGCATGCACAAAGTTTTTATGGCACTTTCATATACAATAATATACACCATTTTAGGCGATTTTACGACAAGACCCTCCCGCTGTTCTCTCGATCGAAACCTGCGTAATGGTTTAAGGAATTGTTACCAAATCTGATCTGACCATGACGGCAACCTCAAACCGGATAATGGGTGGGAGAATGAAAAGCGAGCGCCTAATTTGACCCCAGCAAACACCCGTCGCATAAGGGGAGGAGAGCGTGCCCGCGTGCATGGTAGCAGGGCAACGCGTGGGACAAGGACAGAGAAAGAGGGAGGATGGGGAGAGGGAGAACGAAACACACGAGAACCGCCAAGCAGACAGGGCGGGCAGATGGTGAGAGTAACAACCGAGAGTACTGAAGAGAAGAGAGACAGAGAGAGAGAGAGAGAGAGAGAGAGGGGGGGGGGGCAAACTCAACAAAGGGGTGTGGATAAACTCTCCCGCACCGCTCCAAATAGAGCCGAAGGACCCGTCCGTACCGGTGCAACGCGCTGCAGGAGGTCCCTTCATTTAGTGTTACAGCATCACCTTCTCTCTCTCTCTCTCTCTCTCTCGGTCGCAGTCTTGCTCCCTCCCTCTGTTTCGCTCGCTCCGTCTCGCCCTCATCCCCTTGCCGCCGCGCCGGCGGCCGGGAGGAGGAGGGGCGTGGCGGTCCCGCCCTCTCCTGGGGAGGGGGGTGGGGAGGACTCCATCGCGTGGGGAGGGAGGGGGGGTGGGAGATCATATGACAGTATGCTGCCATATAGTGGTCCGGGTGGTGGGGGGAGGCAGGCCCGGTGGCGTGCGGCGCGGCCGCCCGGCCCCGGCTCCAGCAGTCCCCGTCCATCTTCCACCCGCGGAGGTTGTGCAGCAGCGGGAGCGAGCGAGGCTCACAGTGCGCGTCAGCCAGCACGTCGTCGCCGTCCTGGGCGAGGTGCGCCTCTTGTTGTTGTTGTCATCCGCGTTGACGCCGTCGTCGGCCACCATCACCACGACCCCCGTCACCACCACCACCAGCACCACCATGATGGAGCACAAGCCCCGACACCTGCCCGTCGTCGCGGGGACGACCACGCCGTCGGGGCGGGCGCGGGCCGTGTACAGCATCGACCAGATCCTGGGCAACGACAAGCCGAAAGACGGTGAGTGCGGGACGCGCCCTCTACGAGGACGCCGACGACGTCGTCCTGTCTTGGTCCGTCTCGGCCTCGGCCACCTCGTCGTCGATGTTCGTGTTGGTGCTGCTGCTGTAGTTGGTCGCTGCTCGATTGTCTGTGTTGTGTGCCAGTGTCGCCAGTGTGCAGTGCATCGTGACGGAAGTCAGGCAGTAGTGGCGGCCTCCGCGTATTTTGGATGTAGCTTCTTTTGGTAGTGAGGACCACAGCGTGTCCGGGAGTGATCCGCCGCCGTCCGAAGTCCGTTGTGCTCGGGCTCGTGCAACATGTTATGTCATCGAACCATTGACGCCCTCCGCCCCAAAGCCAGCACGGCGATAGTATCCCAAAACTGATCCGGTTTTCGGGCTTAGAATAAGACGTTGCCGCTGGCGGGGGTAGTTCATCGGGGAGCCAAGCAGCCGCTTAAACCTTTGATCTCTCTTCCCCCACCTCTCCCCCCCCCTCTCTCTCTCTCCCTCTCACGGCTCGCAGAAGTAAAACCACTTGAACCCGGAGCCCGAAACTGATTTGGTTTCGCCGCGAAATGTTGTAGACTTGGCTGCTCGCCCCCGGGGGTGGGTGTGGGGCTGTTGGCGGGGTGGGCCCGGGCGGCGCGAAGCGGGCGGTTGCGTTTGAAGTTCGGCAGCAGGCAGAGCCAGCAGCCATCATCGGGGGGCCCCTGCCCCGGCGCAGCCCGGCGCCAGCACGCCAAACCAATCAGATCTGTCGCTAAGTCAAACAAGGTTCCGAGGGCGCCGCAGCGCCGCAGCCGCGGTGGGGGTGCGCTGCAAACAGAACCCGTCGGGGGCTCCAGGGTCGGTGTGCCGCCGGGCTGCCAGCAAGTAGCCGCCTTCATCTGACCAGCTACTATCAAGCCGAGTTATTCTGGTCTTAAAAAATTAATAAAATACCTTTATAGGACCCACCGGAACGATTTCTAGACGTATTGTGCACCTATGAGTTTTCGACCCTTACGCCATGGGGTGGGCCCGTAACGAGTAGGCATCCCTCCCATTTGCTGAGCATGCGGAATGTAACTGCAGCTTATTATGGTCTTCACTCAAAATGGAAAAGGACAACTTTGTATCTGAAAAAATTAAATTTGTACCTAGTCCTAATACAAATATATTATTTGTGTATAGTTTTGAAACACATTTGCATCCGATTGAGATATGCTTAAGAAACGCATTTCCTGGCTGGATACAAAATTGTCCTATCCCATTTAGAGTGTGTGGGTTCTACGGAGGTCAACCTGCATGTTGGTAAGTTGAAATGCATTTCGGGTGAGGGTCCAAAGTTTTGCCCTTTTTCAAAATGTTTAGGTTTACGTAATACGGTCGTTTTGGCTGCCTCTTTCTCTAGTCGAAGCGGAACAGAGATGAGCCCGCTGACGCTCATGGGAAATACCGGGTGGACAGATAAACCCCACCGCGCTTAAATTTAACCTCGAGAATATTTATAAAAGATTAACGCGATGTCCCCGAATTAGAAACCGATTTCCTCTCCAACTCTGGAAGTTCTTGAAACATCCTACGACATTTCTAAATTTTTATGAAGTTTAAAAGAAAATGGCAGTTGAAAGTTACAGTGCAGCAATATGCATTTGCACAAAGAGTGCTCAGAATGGAAGGCTTCTTTATCGACTCGAGAGTTCCTCCCTGATTAGACAAACCTCTTAAGCCCTAGCGCCGCCCCTGCTGCAGTGGCGCAAGTTGGCCAACTTGAGGGGCATTGTGTCCCACCGGCCTCTCGCAAGCAAAGGTATTTTATTAATTACAGAAGAAGAGTAAAAGGAATTGCTTTGTCTGGCACGGGGCGCAAGTTTTAAGAATGAGTTGTAGCAGCCATTAATATAATAGGACTAAATAGCGAGGGATTTTGTAATTACCTGCAATTGCTGAAAGCGCGCGCGTCTCCAAAACGCGGACCCAACCAATTTCCCCGCCCCCCTCTCGCGAGAACAAAATAAGAAACAAAAAATGAGGCAAGATTGACCTCATAACGGGCGTAACCCAGCGTCAACATAACAAAGACCTAACTCGTGCCCCCCAGCGGCAGCTCGGCGCATAATTAAATTTCTTTTTTTCTGGATCTGTCTTTATTAAAGCTCTTGGCTGAGCAGAGGGGGCCTTTTGAAGAGCCGAGGATATTAAATGACATTCATGCAGTGAACGGAAGGAGTTCAGTGCAGACACTTGAGATATTTCTTTTCTGCGCGGGGTAGGAGGGGGGGGGGGCTGGAGAAGGAGAAACGGGACCGAGGTGCGGGAGGGGCAGGGGGTCGGTGAAAAGGGGCAGAAGGAATGATATTCTCTCGGAAATGAGGAGGATTAATTCTTTTCCAGCGCGGCGGTAGAAGAAGAAAAAAGTAAAGGGCGGTGCGTTTTGAGAAGGAGATGATATTTTATTGGCTGAGCGCGGGCCAACCATATTTAATTGAAGGGGACGTTTGCATTGCTGAAGGGATATTCGCCGCTGGGACGCCGTCGCCTCGCCATCGCCGCGGCGTTGTATTCTCGACGGCCACCGCCGCCACACCGGGAGCTCCGCGCGCGCGTTGATATTAAACAGGCTGTGCAAAAGTTTTAAGTTGGATCGGGCCCCGGGAAATTTAATATACCGGACCGCCGGGGCTAATGTCAACTTCCAGCGCCACGCCGCGCCACGCCACCGCGGCGGGCACGGCGCGGTCCACCACCGCAGGGCTGGGGCCGTCCCAAGCACCGCCAGCTGAGCGCTCGCGGCACTCCGCCGCGCTCTCCCTGGAGCTCTGTCTCTTTCTCCCCCTCCTCCCTCCTACCCCTCCTCCTCCTCCTCCGCCCTCTCCTTCCTCTCCTCCTCCTCCCTCTCCTCCTCCCTCTCCCCCTCCCCCCTCCTCCTCCTCCTCCTTCTCCTCCTCCACGCCTCTTCTGTTCTCCCTTCGCTCTGGACACCACCAGCGAGCGGACGGACTCTCCGGTTCCGGGAACCGCCCTTGCGTTTCGGCTCGCGCTTTGGCCTCTCTGCGCCTGACAGCCCAGTGTCGACCTGTCTCGGGCAGCCCGATCACCTCCATCGAGCATCCTTTAATAAGTAGCCCCCCTCCCCCGCCGTGCCCCTCCATCCTCTCACCCTCCCATCCTTTCTCTCCCTCGTTTGCCTGGACAAAGACGAACAATAAAGAATAAACAAGCTGGTATACACAAGTACACGGCAGACAGGTGGGTCTATTTGATTAGGTCGCGCCTGGACGTGCGCCGGCAATGTTGATGACGCGGTCGTCATATGAAATAAAGGAAGAAAAGTCCTGGTGCCCCGTTGGGCGTTGTTATGAAACTTTGGAAATTGCCATTCACTCAGTTACATGTAACCCAAATCATGGGAAGAATTAAAAGAGGGGGCCTGGCGAGATGTTCTGGAGTTCATTCATATAAATCATTTAGGCCATTGAAGGGTCAATCCAACTAAAAAGGGAATGTGCAAAAAATAAAATAATGATTTTGTTAAATTTTGAGCTTTCCAAAAGTATGGAGCTAATAAGGTTTGTTTTATTTGACCCTGCAACAGCTGAAAATAATCCTAAGCCTTACAAGTCTTTAAATAGATTTATAAAACACAATCTAGATTTTTCAGCTTTTGAATAGACTAATAAAAAATGGCATGACTCGGATCTATCGCCACCTCCGGAGAGATACCCACCCACCGTGAATGCCATCTTTCAAAATTTTCAGTTAGTCTCCTCATCAGGACTGCTAAAACTTACTACAACAATGAAACGTTTTCTTTGTGTAACAATAAATTTGTTTGGTTACTTATCGATATTGCGACATGTGTCGCGATCCCGCGGCTGCGGGCGGGGGCCGATGGATTGGGGATTCCCGCTCCCGCTCCCGCCGTCCAGAGTCAGAGCTGCCTTGGGGCTGGGCGCGGCGGGGCCAGGCCGGGCGGGGCGAGGCGGGGCGCGGCGGGGCGAGGCGGGGCGAGGCGCACTCTCACTCATCAACCACTTACCCGCGGTGCGGTTGGCACCCACGTTACACCCCACCCCGCCTCGCCTATGGGCCCGGCGCCCCCTCCCCCTCTCTCTCCCTCTCCCTACGGTGGGGCTCAACTGCGTGTGGCTCCGAAAGGGGGGGGGGGGATGAAATGCTCCCACAGCGTCTCTCTCCGTCGCACTTACAACGAGATAAGTCGAATCGAGTAAAGAGCGGCATGAGGGGAAGCGGTAAGGGGAGGGGGGCGATTGAGAATGATTCCACTTCTCTATTGGATTTCCCAGATATACTGGAAAATAAACAAGACGTGTGCACCGGGTGTAACTGTGAATACGCGGCAGTGTTGCGGGATTGCATACTCAATATGACCGCAGGGGCCATGGCCCCTTACGGGTGTAAGGAGTAGGCAAACCCGCAACACTGCTGCGCATTCTCAGTTACACCCGGTACAGTGAGAGGTACTTGCTTTCTGTCTGTCTGTCTCACCCCCTCTCGCTTGCTCCATCCATCTTGCCCTGCAGCAGTAGTGGGGCGGGTGCTGTCCTCGTCACTTTTTGGAGTATATAAGGGATGAGGTGGTTATGTGCAGCCAGTTCAATTCATTTCCGTGGCTAGAGATTAGCAAGGCATGCGAGCTGCCGGGGCCGACCGGGAAAACCAAACGGCCCCGCCCCGCCACCTCCCCAGGCATTCCCGTCGCCGCGTCAAGTCGCGTGCTGCCGTAATGAAACGACTTGTTCTGGCCATTTGGAGGCTCGGAAATGTCCACACACACTCTCCATGTATCAGTCATACTTATTTATAGCATACTAGAAGCGTGCTAATTTTAACCAAAGTTTGGTACCAGTATGATGCGCGTCACTGACTAGGTGCGCAGCAGACAGGCTTCCATGAAACGCCACTATTTTCCTGTTTTTTTCTTCTTTTTTTTTTCAGAACGACAGTGTTCATTAGACCCCTTTTTAGCCTCCAATGTGTTTCAAGCAGAACGCCTCTGCACAATGATACGATAATAACGACCCAGACAACTATGCTTGGTTGGTTTGCCTCAGATAGAGAGGGATGAGGGGGGGGGGGGGCAAGAAAGAGACGGATAGAGCGCCAACCGGAGCGTGGATCCTCCTACATACGGTCCGTGCGGTGATCCCATAGCGATATACAGTAGTTCATTGCCATTTTAACCGAAGGACGAGGTGCAGAGGCACGTATGTCCGTGCGCCGGCCCAGTCAGTTACATGGGGGATGGGTCGGCGGCAGGCCGACTTTGGTCTACATATTATTTTCTCCCCGTAAGCTCATTGCATCCCGACATCAGAAGCGGCGGCTCGGCGGGACAAAGCCGGGTCTCACTACTGGATATTAGGCGGCATTGTGAGCCCCATATCTGTCGCACCGGCCCCGGGTCTCCTCTCTTTGGCAGACGAATCGCCGCGCCGAAAAAGGGAAATGCCGCCCGTCGTTTGTGCCGTCCGTCTCTCTCTCTCTCGCTCGCACGCACAGGTGCGACGGCGCGCACAGCACAGAGGCGGAAACTCGAGCCCCGCCGGCGCGACAAAACAGTTAGTTTTTGCTCGGCTTTTCGCACACACACACACACACACACACACACACACACACACATCGGCGTGCGGCTGCCCGGTGAGCTGGAATCTTTTTAGAAAAATAATGGTTTGAAAAAAAAGTTAGAGTTAAACCATTTTATATCGTTCAAACTAAACTAAACAAATTCATCAAATTCTGATTTATTTATTTTTTTAAATCTCTGTGACAGGGAAGAGGATAACTAGCTCGTTGAGCAAATAACAAGGGCGGCTATAAGCCCACGTCCGGATTCATGTAGACTTATCATTAAAATCAACAACATACCGGTGATCGCTTCAAACCACTTGAACTCGGCAGTGTTTTATTCGGAACCCTTTTGGTCTCGCTCCTGCTGCCTGGCGTGAGGCCACCTCTCTCCCTCTCTGTCTCTCTCTCTCTCTCCACCCGCTTCCCTACCCCGCACGGGATTACAGTACGTCAACTATATAATAATGCTGCACTTGGACTAGAGCGTTTTGCAGTGCGCTCGTCGACAAGCGTGGCGGCCGGCGCGGCGGGAGGGGGAGCACTGTTTGAAGGGGTGTGCGGAGGAGGGGGAGAAGGGCAATCGGCCAAAAGTGAAAGGTACGAACAGCTGAGGAAAGCGCTATCGTCACATTTGCGCAGTGCTCTGTGCTGTGTACGTGCGGGCGTCGTCTTATTGCATTGGGTGTTACCTGGAGGTAGGGTAGGGAGGGGGTGGTGACAGGGCGAGCGTGCCCTGCCTGCTGGGTGACCTAGGGTGACGGTCGGACTCGCAGAGCCAATGAACCGGCAGGTTACTGGATGAGAAACTAATAAGATGGCAATAAGCCATGGCGAGCCAGTGGCCGGGCACCCCACCGCTTTTAGCCTTACAACCCTTTTTCTAGAAAAAAAAAAAATCCCCTCCCCCTTCTCTGTTTCTGTCTACCCCCGCCCTTCCCCTCTCCCCTACGGGATTGAGCCCCGTGTTGCTGCTCTTTAATCCTCTTTTGTTCTCCTGGTCTGGCCGGAGCGCTGCCCGCGCTGCCCACACCAGCGGTACACACGAGTGTGTAGTAATACTCTGAAATATAATAATGTGGAACCTCGGCACCATAGCTATCGCCCCGTTTCACTTTTATAGACGTCCCTATTTTGAGCGACATTCGTTGATCCGTGACCCAATAGTAATACAAAGAAATTAAACGATATTTCCATTTTGTGACAAATAATAATTGAAATCATGAGACAACTACTCAAACTACGTTTCGTCGAATGGCAAAACTTTACTCAAACTGTTTAATTAAATTCTTCCACTCTTTTGCTCTGTAACGTGACGTTCGAAACGAGGTGCTGCGGGCCGTCGTGCATTCATGTCTCCGACAAATTAACCTAATCTCCGTGTGTCTCGGGGCAATTATTTGTAGAATCGCACAGTCTAAGCGCGTGCACACACATACTAACGTGCACGCACACTAACGTGCACGCACGTTCACGGACACAAATACACACACACGAACACACACACACGCACGTTTATTGAGCATGCTCAGTACTTGGCCGGGCATGATTCCCCACAGCGGGGGTGCCAGCAGGCACACAGCACACTCCCTCCCAATTCCTACCCCTGCCTCTCTCCCTCTCTTTATTTTCTTCTCTCTCTCTCTCTCTCGTTTAAAAATAAGATATATGTCAGACGCACTTCTTAAAATTTTCTAAAACATAAAATGGTTTTTGTTTTTTGCTCGTGCAGCTGCTGCACCACCACTCCCTGCTTTTCTATATTATCTTTTTTGTTATCTTTCGTGACTGATAACAGAGTAGATATTGAAGGCTCGTCGCCGCTGTGGTATCCCTCTCCTAATAGAGAGAAAAGGGAGGAGGGGGGGGGCGCTTTCCGGGAAGCATCTCCTTTTGTACGATGATGCGTGGACAATCTTTTCCGTGGCGCCTTCGCCAGCCGCCGTGTTGTGAGAGTTGTTTCATGTAATTTGTATCGATAATCTTTCTTCCATTCCTGTATCGCCGCGTAGATCTGCTCTGAGCATCCCCCTCTCGGTCCGGGGCCGCCTTGTGTCACTGCTTTGTGTGACTGAGGAGGGGGGAAGGGGGGGGGGGTGACGCAGAGAAGCGCCTCGGGGCGGACGGCGTTTGAAATCCTATATATCAGTGGGAAACTGGGCCGCGATTGTAACGAATACTTTGATGAGGTCGTCGGGGCGACAGAGAGAAATAGCAAATGGATCGGTTCGTTTACCTAAGACGAGAAAATCTCGCGAAACACGATATAGTCGAATCTGCATTTTTGCAAGTTAGCACAGTTCAATACAGCGTTTCTTATATGTTTCCTTCTGGCTCAAGCTTTCTCACGATTATACAGTTCTTGATCGGCTTTTTTTTCCGCTTCTTGCAGATGACGTCGCAAAGGGTGACAGCGGGTCCACCACCTCTGGCGACTTGGACCTCACGACCTTCTCCGACGTGGACGCCGAGATCGGCGCAGACCTCGGCTCGGGTGGGGACGGCGCTGGCCTCGAGTGCCTCGACGGCGACATGAACCGGCCGCGAAAGGTCCGGCGGTCCCGCACCACCTTCACGACGTACCAGCTTCACCAGCTGGAGCAGGCGTTCGAGCGCTCGCAGTACCCGGACGTGTATACCCGAGAGGAGCTGGCGAGCAAGCTGGAACTGAGTGAAGCACGAGTGCAGGTGAGGAGACACACTTTCTATCTAATTTCTCTACGTACACTCTCATACCGCATCAGTGGCCTCAGACAAAGAAATTGAAAAACCTCTATGGTCAACGATGATTTTCATTAAAATTTTGTGGAAATTAATTTAATTGTCCACGGGCACAGAGACGTGAATTGGGCAAATCGACAAACATATTGCATGTGTGGGATTCCCCTATTTTAGCCTCCACGACATCTACCCCTCCCCCTCTCTACCCCTTTCCAGTGCAGCAGCACAACCTACCCTCCCCGCCCCCTGATAATCTGCCCCGATGGATGCCATTTCTCCGCGCTGCCGCGCCCCTCTTTGGTCGCGTCGGAAGTCATACTCGAGGGTCCCTCTGGGCCTCTCCAAGCCGGGCCCGGGCCCGGCCCGGCACGCCACTCCAGCACAACGGCGCGAGCCCTCCTTTCTCCCCCTCCCCCTCTCTCCCTTTCCCTCGCAGACTCACTCTCCGCGCAAAAACGCGCGCGCGCACACGGCGGGCTGGCGCACGCTTGGCGCGCGCGCGGGCTTTTCAAACACGTAATAACCCCATTTGACGGTAATTCCATTCCACAAAGTTAAAAGGCCGACACATGGCGCAGCGCGACTCACAAAGGCGGCCCTCCAAGGCGCTGCGCTGCTCGAAGTCAGCGCTCCACGGTCCTAGCGAGGCGTGGTCAGCCCTCCACGGGCCCAGCCCTTGCACCGCCCACCTGCCCCGCGCCCGCCCCAACGCTTCCTGTCGTATTCAAGCGAGGCGGGCTGTGTTGGTCACGGCCGGGCGCAGCGCGACGACGTAATGTGTCGACTTCACGAGTTCTCTCTGCTGCTGCGGAAAGAATTGTTAAATGAAGGGCGAGGCGAGCGCCGCTTAATGTAAGACGCACACTCGCCCCCTCGCGGGCGCCACCAGCACGGCGCTCTTGTACGCCTCGCGGGTCCTTCGCGCGCCTTTCTTCTCCAACAAATCCTCCGCGACCTCTCCCTGCCCTCCCCGCTCCCGACTCGATGCAGCGGCGCGGCAGCGAGCGCTGCGGGCTCCTTAATAACACTTGTCGGCGATGAAAGTCCCTATAAAACACTTAATCCATGGAAGGCGCCTCTCAGCGACCTGAGGACGACTGAGCACCCTTATTTTGCTCCCATTCTTTTCACCCCAACACACTCGACGAACAGTCCAAGCCGACAGCATGCGCCTCTTCTCGTACCCCCTCCCCCCGTTCCCCCTCCTCTCTCTCTCTCACACACACACACACACACACACAACAAGCTTTGGTACATTTCTAACGACGCCGCAGCACGACGACGACGAGGCTCACTTCCCTCCCCAACTCCGCCACCCTCCCCCTCTCCCCTTCGCTCTCACGTATCGAATGACACATGCGCGCGTCGCTCTCACAATACAATGCGCATTAACAACCATTTTATCAGCCGTATTATCACGACTACGTCGCTCGCACTATCTCTCCCAACTAAGTAATTTACCGTCGTTTCTCCCGCGATAAACATCACCCCTGCTCGCGTTAGATCTCTGATTTCAACCCCCCCCCCCCACACTTTCCCTGCAGGTTGCCGTTATAATTATCGTAGCTAATTCAGTAGTTACTTTGCCAAGTCAGCATGTAGTACTTCCGGCCTCGTTTCGAAACGCCAGGCATCCAGCCAGGACGGCCGGCGCAGTAGCTGGCTGCGGCCAGGCCCGCCTGCCGCGGTAGGCCGGCCGCCCGACCGTCGTGCGCCCGTGAGGCCTATCCTTGAGTGCCAGGCGGCCCGCGCGCCTGGTGCGGTAGGCCGGCCGCCCGACGGGCGTGCGCCCGTGAGGCCTATCCTCGAATGCCAGGCGGCCTGCGCGCCGGCGCAAGGAAGAAAAAATAAGCAGAGTGCTAAGACAAAATTTACTTCAAAACAAAGAAATTAGAAAGAAAATGGAGCAGCCAGACAATTTAATTAAGAGGCGAAGAGTGTTCTGAATTCACGGAATTTGCTTTTGGCGGCGGCGACTGGTGGCGCGGAGTGGCGCGACGCTCTCGGGCGGGGATGAGGCGACCGACGAATTATAGCCGCATTGTTCACGGCCAATTATCCACTAGGAGAGACTACCCCTCTCTCCTCTCTCTTCTCTCTCTCTCTCTCTCCATCCTGCCATCTTTGTCGCCTCTCGTTCGCCGTACCCCTCTCTCCCTCTCTCTCCTTTGCCCTTATTTCCCTCTCTCCTCTCTTTCCTCCTCTCTCCCGCCCGCCCGACAACGGTGGTACAGGCGGGAGCAGGACTGAGAGAGGGGGGTTGGGAGGGACGGAGAGAGGTGCAGCAGCCACCCGCCGCCAGCCGTGTGAGAACAACTCAGCCTAGTCCGATCTAATTGACGATCACGGCTTGTCAAGTGAGTGCGTCCTGATCTTTGGCACGCGTCGCTCCCTCCCGCCATCCGCTCCCGCCCGCTACGCCTTCCCCCACGCCGCTCCCGTGCCACGCCACGCGGACTAGACACACACCGTCTCATTTAATTTCGGAGGATTAAATTCTTCCACGCTCTTTTGTGGGCAATGGGCATTTGTTGGTGGGGCGCCGAGCGCGGCGCTCCCACTAATTACAGAGCGGTTGTTACAGCGGGGGCGTCGCGATATTAACAAGACTTGCGTTTGTAAAATTAGTCCAGATTGATCCAGGTGGTTGAGGCGATTGCACTTACTTGCTGGCTGATTTTTCGAAATCACATATTACTTTGCTTGCGGCTGTGCATCTCAGGGGCGGGAAAATTTAGTACCACGTAATCGCAAGGAACGTGTTATTAAATACTTAAATAAATACTTCAATAAGTGAAACAATGTGGCCAATGGTCATAAGATCGTTTCTTTTTTTGGATGGAGGGGGTGGGGATGCTGAGTCCTCCCATAACACTAAATTGCCAATCTGGTGTATTCTCGTCCCTCGTTGGCACAGAGGCAACGGTTTTGTGAGCTGTTGGCCCCGACGCGTCCGACAGCGATAATCATGAAATTAAAAAAATACGTGCGAGTGAGCGGACAAGGAGCACGACTCTGTGTGTGGCAGCAGCGGCACACGGACAGCCTCCTCATTCGATTCAATTAGATTCGTGTGAGTAAGCAGGAGCGGTTCGCGTCATATACCCCAGTGACTGACTGTGTGTGTAAGAGAGAGAGAGAGAG